ATATATATATATGTATATATATATATATATACATACATATTATAAACTAGCAAATAAAGGAATTCTGTTGTAAAATTAAAAAGTGGGCAAATATTGGTGCTTAACCAGGAGTGCGCTTCTCAAAAAATGAAATAACTCAGGCTAAATTATCATTGTACGATGCATCGTTTAAGAAAAGAATAATGTAGTGACTAGTGTTTCCCAAAAACCGTAGTTGCTCTGCTGCAGATCTGTAATTTGAACCAAGTTAGTTATAACACGAAACATCCATAATCATGTTATAAATAATGTTTTACACTCACACGCATTAAAAACAAATCCATTATTAGTTTTGGTAAAAAAAAAAAAAAAACATGCACTCATTTTCCATATTAATCTGAAAGGAATAGGGCATAGGGGGATGACTAGGAATAGAACACAACCAGGAACTATACTTCTAACTACAGCTCTAGAGGTGTAGTTGCAAGCGTACAAGTTTCATAATGTTCCTTGGAACGATGTATTTGGAACACGCAAAATCGACTACCTATGTTTCTTACGATGGAACTCGGGAACTTAGTTGGCTAACGATGGTTTTCAGAAACGCACCCCAGACCGGTCAGAAATAGTCAGAATATTTGTGTTTGCTTACCATGAGCTCATTATAGTAATTCAGGAAGATGGATTTATAATGTACTCGCTCAGAAAACACGTTCTGCCAAATTTTAACCAAAAATCATGAATTGGTATTTATTACAGCTACTAAATTCAACAAAATTGTTTTTATTAAAAATCTTTATATTCAAAAAAATCCAGCTTTTCCAGTTTAAAAACTCATTGAGAAGCTGACCAAGTAGGTTCAACCAAAACACTATGATTGCTAAGATTGATTGTTTGTTTACATTGTTGTCTTTCAAATGTGTTGAATGAGAGCAGAGTAAAATCTGCTTGTCTTATATCTTTGTATTTGTCTTTAATGTGAATCTTTTTGTGCTGCCATTTTGGTCAGGACTCCTTAAAAGAAAAGATCTTCTCTTTTCATGGGACAATCCTGACCTGTGGGAGAATAGTGATTCTGAAGGACTGGCTGGTGTTCGTTCCTCTGAGGTAGATTGAGACTTTTGGAAAAAACCTCCATGGTGACTCTCCTCTCATCCAACATGCGAGCTTGGTGCCATCAAAGAATCCAGCAGAGAAGTCATCAATCTAGGAATCCAAGAGACAGCAGGGCGGTGTTCATTAAGTTTTAACTGAAGGGTCATTTTTAGCATAGTGTGAACCAATAAAAGTGCACAAATATCAAATAGCTGAGGCAATTCAATAAATTTGGCAAAAAGTAAAACAATACCAGGGATGTTTGCATAATGGTGTCCACTACAGCAGTGAACACATTTGCAGGAAGTCGCAGAAGAGTCGTCCCACTATCCACAATGGCTTTATCCGAGTTGTACTGAATAAAAAAAATCCAAAGGGAAAAGATCAGAGCCTGAAGGCCAAAAAAAAAAGAAAGATACTTTGAAAAATGTTGGACACCTGTGACTACTGACATCCAGGGTAGGAATACTATAGAAGACGATAGTTGCCGGTTTTCCAACATTCTTCAAAATATCTGCTTTTGTGTTCAACAGAAGAAAGAACTTAACTAACTTAGGAACAAGTAGAGGATGAGTAAATGTTGACAGAATTTATTTCTCTAACTCTCCCTCTAAAAGGATTAATCATAATTTTATTTTTGTTGAGATTCAAATGTCACTATAAATGAGGAGGACTTCTCTCCTCAATCACCGGGTTTAAATGCAGACCAAGTGGATAGCATTGCAGCAGGTCTCTTACCCCGATAATCTGGAGGATTGTAAATATTTGGCGAACACAGCAGCACGAATTTAGGTGATGTGTCTGAATGGTAACTGACTCAACTGAAAAAAAAGAAAGTCTGCCATTCTCCAATTTGTACAGCTCTCCCGACAAAAATGCTTGCTGCAAATAATTGTGACATAAAATTAAATAGTAAAATATAATCAACAACGAAAATGTAAATAAAAAGGTAAATTAAAACATAAATGAAAAGGTCTTGTATTAGTCCTACCAAAATAGCAAACACTGAAAATCTCTTTACATTTAGGCTAAAAGACTGCTTTAATTTTTTAATTTAGGCATACTTAGAATATTTGTACTGAATGTTTGTGCTTTCATATTAGTTGTCTTTAACTTCTTCAATTCTATTTTTCAAAAAGAATCCTCTTTGCATTTAAAAAGTTTAGAATAACAATAATTCGTGTTAACAAATTTTAAATGATTAATAAAGGAATTATAATGATTTGACTTATTGTTTAATCTCATTTACAAGCACAATAGCATATTTAAGGCTGCTGTGTGGGCTATTTCTGTCGGTTCGCATCCCGTCCCTTTGCGCCCCCTGGCGGCTCATTCACAAACTGCGGTCATACACTAAAAACAAAGCGGCTCCTATTTCAAACGGCGGCGGTATATGACACGGCGGTAATAGTCACTTTGAACTCTCACCTACAAATGCAGAATCGCACATTGTTTGGGAATGTACCTCTTTGCAGTCTAGATTTAAATTTTGGTCTCCAACTTCAAGCTTGAGGACTTCCACTTGATAGTACCACTCTTCCAGGACTGGTGTGTACCAAATTGGACCGCGGTGCAAAGTTGGCTCTACTCCTCCCATGATCTGAAACACAATGCAAAATCAAGCATGTACTTTGAGTAATACTGAATTTTCTGTGTCTACAGTAAAAATCATACAATGCAGTAAAAATGAAACATAAATGAAGCTTAGCTGAGATTTAAATTAGAAATAATAACAATCACCATGTTTCAACAACACCATGCTTCCCCAGTCAATTAGATAAAGCATTTCAGGTTTATTCATTCATTTTCTTTTCGGCTTAGTCCCTTTATTAATTTGGGGTCGCCACAGCGGAACGAACCGCCAACTTATGTTTTATGCAGAGGACGCCCTTACAGCTGCAACCCATTACTGGGAAACACCCATACACTCCCATTCACACACATGCACTACTGACAATCTAGCTTACCCAATTCACCTATAGTGCATGTCTTTGGATTGTGGGGGATACCAGAGCACCCGAAGGAACATTTCAGGTTTAGTGAAATGTTATTTATATATGGGAATACATTATTTAGGAAAGTTAAACAAATTGAAATATTATATAAATATTTAATACGTTAACATTCAATATATTATTTATTGTTCATATTTTTATTATCATCATTGATATTACTGCTACGACTACTACTAATTTGTTCTTTTGTAAAAGAAAAAAACATCGTATGAATTATGTTTCAGTAAAAAGAAACTTTAATAATGAGTAAACTTGGAAAAGCTCTTAAAGTGAGATTGTGTACTCAATCTATAGATTAATAATAAAAAACACACATGTACAGAGTACACGTACATATTACTTTATTAGGTACACCCGTCCAACTGCTCAATAACACAAATTTCTAATCAGCCAATCACATGGCAGCAACTAAATGCATGTAGATATTGTCGAGACAATCTGCTGCAGTTCAAACCGAGCATCAGAACGGGGAGGAAAGGGGATTTTGAACATGGCATGATTGTTGGTGCTAGGTGGGCGGTCTGAGTATTTCAGAACCTGCCGATCTACAGATCAAGAATGGCCAGACTGGTTCGAGCTGATAGAAAGGTAACAGTAACTCAAAAAACCACTCATTACAACCGGGGAATGCAGAAGAGCAACTCTGAATGCACAAAAACAAGCAGAAGACCATACTGCGTGCCACTCCTGTCAGCTAAGAACAGGAAACGGAGGCTACAATTCACACAGGCTCACCAAAATTGGACAATATTGGAAAAACATTTCCTAGTCTGAGGAGTCTCGATTTCTGTTGTAACATTCGGAAGGTCGGGTCAGAATTTGGCATCAACAACATGAAAGCATGGATCCATCCTGCCTTGTTTCAACAGTGGTGGTGGTGGTGTAATGGTGTGGGGGGTATTTTTTGGCACACTTTGGGCCCATTATTACCAACTGTGCCTACCCGAGTATTGTTGCTGATCATGTCCATCCCTTTATGACCACAGTGTACCCATCTTCTGATGGCTACTTCCAGCAGGATAACGCACCATGTCATAAAGCGCAAATCATCTCAAACTGGTTTCTTGAACATGAAAATTTGTTAACTGTACGCAAATGGCCTCCGTAGTCACCAGATCCCAGTCCAATAGGGCACCTTTGGGATGTGGTGGAAGGGAAGACTCGCATAATGGATGTAAAGCTGACAAATCTGCAGCAACTGTGTGATGCCATCATGTCAATATGGACTAAAATCTCTGAAGAATATTTCTAGTACCTTGTTGAATCTATGCCTCAAAGGATTAAGACTGTTCTGAAGACAAAAGGGATCCAACCCGGTACTAGTAAGGTGTACCTAATAAAGCGGCCATATATATATATATATATATATATATATATATATAT